CTTGTACCAAGGATTATGCTTTCATCATGTGTACATGATGATACTTACAACTAATAATTTAGTTGTTAATTGTTCTATGTGACATGTGATTCATTTTGTTTCACTGACTGTGACAAATAGATGTGAATCATGATGGGTTACATGATGTGTAAGATGATGATATTATCTTCCTTTACGTTCATTAATTAATTCTGCAAATTAAACTTGCAAGTGTGGGCAACTATGATTAGGATATGTCATGTACATAATTATTATGCCTTAATCCTTTATATCCTTAGCCACTAAAGTATCCGAATAAGCAACTATTCATCTGTTTGTGGTCAACACATAAAAGTCTAGCGAAATTTAGGTTAGTATGCATTGCTTGTTGTGGGAGTTGTTTCGTAGTTTATTGTTGTTGTATGGTTTATTTGATTATGTTTGATGGTAAGCACAAATGATTATTGGGTTTTGTTTTAGACATTGCTATGTGTATTTAAGATAGGGTCCATACAACAAGTTGATGGATACTTTTGTTTTAATACGAAGTTCTGTTTGCTACCATTTTCTTGATATATTTATATATGTTATTATATGTTGTTGACTTTCAAACATATATTACAAGATTCCAATTCTCTTGTATTCATAAATTTGTTTAGATATGTTATATTTCATCGTAACTAGCACATGTTTTCTTATTTTTATAGGTGATACCATGTCATGGACTGAAATTTATAAACTACACAAGACACGGAATAAACTAACTAAACGGAACTAACTAAAAAACTACGAGAAAGAACAAACAATTAAACGGAACTAATTAAGTAAGAAAAGAACGAATTAACTAAAGATAATTAATAAAGCAAGGAAACAAGATAATCAAAAGAGAAGCAAACCTAAGTAAGTACTAACGTAAGCATGACCCGATACCCTTCTAGCATTGAACTATCCTTTACGAAGACACCAACTCGGTCGACACTTTGGAGAGCTCTTCCACCTTCCCCAAATGCCACAAACTTGAGGCTTTATACTCAAAGCCAAATTTTGGAACTAAACCCCATGAAGCATGCAATGGAATTGCATTCCATGAAATATTAGACTAAAAGAGAATGTATTGCTATCAAGATAACCTTCCATAAAAGGAAATGATGCTAAATGATCAAATATTCATTAAAATGTATTTGCTTGGTGTGTCGTACAAAGCACCTTAAGGCGTCATGTTTATAGGAGTGAGGGAAGGGGAAGTTGAGTGATTTTCCAATGTGGGATTAGTTTTGTATAAGTAATCTATAAATGAGAGACACCTAGCCTAATCGTCCCCCCATGCATGTGAGAGGCATGTGAGGTTCCATATTATATAGAAGTTGTCCCAAGGGATGGTCCCCCACTTAATGCATGTGCAATCCTAGGCTTATACAAATACATAATAAACCCTCTATTTTATCATACTCCTAAGTTTGTACAACTTTTCCGTTAGTTGTTCGAATGAGGCGTTGCAAGCTTCAAAGTCGGCATCCTTCGACAAGTGTTTGGCTATTGCAACATGGGCTTGAATTGCTTCCCAAGTTTCAATCTTCACCATCAAACCTTGTAATTTGTCGACGCAAGGTTTCTCTCGGGTACTCGAAGCTGGTCCGATATGTAGTTTTGGAATTGTGAATTTTGATGCTAAGACATCCATGTCATTTCCTCCCCCTTAAGAAGATTGAGCCATCAACCATTGTGCTTTCTCATCCACTCGAACATAAGATGATAAATCATAAAGAACTTCCGGTAATTCCTCCAGGTATACATCTTTGACATTTTCAAGTATTCTAGTAAAGGGTATGTAAAAGTTAGCGAGTACATGATCTTTATTTGACTTAAATAAATTACTGCATAAAAATAAAAAGCAACTCCCTTTTGGATCAAGGTCATCTGTTTCTTGCTAAAAATCAGTAAGTGAGAGTAGGATGTTGGACCCCTTATAGGGATCGGTTGCGATCGGAACTGGCTTGTTTAGTAATCCTCATATCACCAATAGAACTCATCGATGGAAGACGATACTGTATTGGATGCTTGGTAGCACGGAGTCCAAAATAAATCACATACATATAAATGACACCGTGCAACTTTCAATATCCATGATTAGAGACTCTTGCTTTTCACCAATTGTGCATTCGGAATGGAACAATTTCTCTTGGTACTCCTTACCTTGATCAAATATGTTTCCTGACTCTTTTGGAGTTTCACCAAGTATTTGTAGGACAACAGGTGACTTTCCGAATTATAAATCTTCTTCTAGTTGTTCTTCGGCCACATGAACAACTTTCTCCTTACTAACATTGACCTTATGTTTCAAACATTCTCTCTCATCTCCATCATAAAAAATTGCAAATGAGGCTTATGTATATCTTGTACTTGTGGATTCAGTCGAGTAAGCGCATCGTCCATTTTTCTTCCTAACTCTTCTTTTATCTATCTTAGAAGTGTAATTTGTTCATTTGAAACAGCTAAGATATCATTTAAGGAGGTCATACCTGCATCAAAACAAATCTAAAATATATGTATATTGAAAGTTAGTCCTCACAATCCCCCTTCTCGCACACTCGTGTATACCTCTTGACAAATATGTAGAGTTTCCAAGCTCTATAAGTGTACCTTGATGGAGTCGTAAAGGTGGAACCTGAGTGACGTACCCGTTTAAAGTGGACAAGAAACTTTAAACATGACTCAATCAAAGAAAGTACAAGATAGTATCAATCATGCAATGCAAAGAACCAAGCTCGTGCATTTATGGACTAATGACCAAAAAGCGCACACAACACACAAATGCTGAAACTATGCAAGTCAACAAAAAACAAGCTGAATTAGATCTCAAAAACTACCAAATCACTACAAAAACTCAACCCCTTTTAAAATGTGTCAAACAAATATGACACAATCTTGCGAAACTTGAAACCCCAAAACTATATAAACCTGACGTCAATTACAAATTCACAAAATCTGAATAATATATGTTTTTTTCCACTTCACAAGCTTTCCAATGGCATATCATATGCGAAAAATGGAGCTCATATGAGAAAAGTACAACTCAAACAAGATTATCGACAAAAATTGCACTAGTCCTCCCGTTTGATTTTTTTTTTTAGTTTTGTTTTTTTTGGATATTCTGGTTTTTTTTTTTGCAAAAATTTTTCCTTTTTTTCAACTTTTTTTTTCACAGCAATATTGCGAGGCCTAGAAAAAATAATACATCAACAATAACTCCTTAAACTTCCCAAATAACATCCAACTCAACAAACAATTCAACCTCACTTTAAATAGTGAACTCAAAGAACCCGTAAACTTGGAAAACTCAATAAGAGCATGAAGTGTGCAATTAAAATCACTCACCAACAAAGTCACAAGCTTGCGTTCATATAATGGATATGGATATGTGGTGCATGTTGTATACTAGGAAACATAGAGGATAAAATCATCTACACAAGAAGACCAAGCAAAGAAAAAACTCGAGATCAAATTTACGTCAAGGATATGCTATAATAAAGCTCAACTAAGCAACTAGAGGAATGAATAAAATGAAAAGATATCAAATGGTTTCTTTTTTTTCGGAATTTTGAATTTTAAAAAAAAGAAGTGTAAATTGACCAAACTGCTCTATTACCAAAATTAACTAATATATGTCATGGACATAAATTGATCACTACACAAGACACGAAATAAACTAACTGAACGGAACTAACTAATAGACAAAGAGAAAAAACAAATAACTAAACAGAACTAATTAAGCAAGAAAAGAACGAATAAACTAAACAGAATTAATAAAGCAAGGAAAACATATAATCAAAAGAGAAGCAAACCTAAGTAAGTACTTGTAGACACTAAAAATATATGTCTAAAATCAATTAAATATCATGTATTTTGGAAGAAAATAAAATTCCAATAAAATAAATATATGGTATTTAATTATGCACATATGTTAATTTTTGTACAATAAATATCAACCATTAATGCAAAATCTGCTTAAAATGGAAGATATCGTACAAATATTACGTGCATAAATAGAGCCATAATAAATTTGGCAGCAAAATAAATCAATCTTGTCAATAAAGGAAGTATATAAATTAATATCTTCCAAACAAGGCAATGATATAAAGATCTTGTCAATAAAGGAAGTATATAAATTAATATCTTCCAAGAAGGGCAATAATATAAAGATTTTGGCGAGAAAGGAAGGTGCACAATCAAATCCGTCAAGAATGGAAAATGGCATCCGATGGAAAAGGAAAGATTATAAAATCTTTCCATCCACGTAGCACCATCCGAAAAGGAAGCCAATGCCACCCTCCCCTATAAATAGGAGCCTTGGCCAATTCATTTACACACCGAAGTTCATTTGAAGACTCGCGCAAGGGTAAGTCTCTCTAGACTCTCTGCAATGTTCTTCATTGTTCTTCGTGTCCTTCGAAGCGTTCTTCGTCGAAAAGTCACCGATTTGGACAAATGATCCAATATTGGTTGACGAATCGATGAAGTTAACGTTCTTCGTCGTATGTCCGAGCCGGAGGAAGGATCAAATCTCTCAAAGCTATCGAGGAATCCATCAAAGCCAAGGAAGAGCCTCCAAAGTCGCTCCCAAAGCTTGAAGATGTTCGTCGCGTTCTTCATAAAAGGCGGAAACCAGGCCCTCTTCGATCCAATAGTCAAAGGGACACGCCGCCAAAAGCGTTATGGTGCACCAAATCCCTCCCTCAAAGATCAAATTCCGTCCGATCATCCAAAGGAGGCATCGATCCAAAGTCGACGATCAAAATCGCCAACATGGATACCAAAGTCCTTCAAAAGCCGGCGAAGTCAAACCAAAGACCAAAATCCCTTCAGATCAAAGAAGCCACCCAAATCCAAATTGGAAAAATGGATCGACCCGGAGAGAGAATCAAAGGATCCAAATAGAGAATAGGACCCGCATATATTAAATTAAATGTAATTTGTACGATTTTGTGTTTATAAAAAATATAACACAATTTTTTTGTCTACAGATTTTTGGCACGCCCAGTGGGACAACTCTACCTTTCATCTCTCTTTCCGTCGAATTCTCAAACGATCAATGGCTTCCTACAAAATCAATACTTCCAATGCTGTGTCGAAAGCTACTGCTCTAGCCGCCACCGCCAAAGGAGTCGCTGCTACTACATCAAGAACCTCAAGTGCTTCAATGAATGCTGGAGGGATGACACGAAGTATGGCTAAAAGAGTACTGTCATTTTCCGAGGATGCACATCCGAAAATCACAGAGCAAAACTCACTCTATGAGGAAGACGAAAGCTTCAAGAGTACTTCCGCACCGGGCACCCCTCAAGAAGTTGCAACTCGTTCGACTGCATCGAGTTATGCCCCGGTATGACCACGAACGCTTCAAACATAGAAGACCAACTTGTTGCACTGGCCAAAGTTGTTGAAGGGATGTCTCAACACATGCAGCAACAAGACAATGTCATCGCAAAACTGCTTGCAAAATTGGACAAGCCGGAACCAACCAACCAGAATGCTTCGGAGGCCCAAAATGAAGCAGAAACATCCATGGATCAACGCCACGGTAAAGAAAAAATGGCGGGGCCAATGCCGTTTCAAGCATCATCTGACTCTTTCATCCATCTATCCCAACTTGACGAGTATATCAAAGGAGCTCTCAAAAGGGAGTTTGAAGGAAGTTCAAGGCCAACAAATATGTATGCCAAGCCTTACACTTCAAGGATCGACGCCCTCAAGATGCCGATGGGATATCAACCACCAAAGTTCCAACAATTTGATGGCAAAGGCAACCCAAAGCAGCATGTGGCACACTTCATGGAAACATGCAACAACGCTGGGACATATGGCGATCTCTTGGTAAAGCAGTTCGTACGGTCATTAAAAGGCAACGCCTTCGACTGGTATATCGACCTGGAGGCTGGTTCCATCGACAGTTGGGAGCAGTTGGAGTACGAGTTCTTGAACCGGTTCTACAGCACAAAAAGGACCGTCAGTATGACAGAACTCACAAATACTCGTCAATGGAAAGATGAACCAGCAATCGACTACATCAACCGCTGGAGGAGTTTGAGCTTGAACTGCAAAGACCGGTTGTCTGAGGCCTCCGGTATAGAGATGTGCGTCCAAGGAATGCACTGGGGGTTGAAATACATCCTGCAAGGGATCCGACCCCACACTTTCGAAGAACTTGCTACCCGCGCTCATGACATGGAGTTAAGTATGGCTTCAAGCGGGATGCACGGACCACCAGTTCAAGAATCTTCAAAAGCAAAAAGATACGAAAGATATGATGCCGCAAAGAAGGGGAACAACGCCCCTATCAAGTCTTTTGGAAAAGAAGCCTTGGCCATAAAAGCGACGACCAAAGCATCTATGAAGATCCAAAGTAAAGAAAAGGAAGTTACAAGGAAAAGACAATCAACTCAGACAGAAAGACCGCCAAGGCCAACCCTTAAAGAGTTGCAATCCAAAACTTATCCTTTCCTGGATTCCGACGTCTCGGGAATCTTTGACGATCTACTCAGAGAAAACCTCATTGAACTTCCGAATTCAAAAAGACCGGAGGAAGCTGGAAAGGTTGATGACCCAAGATATCGCAAATACCATCGTGTCGTAGGACATCCCATCCATAATTGTTTCATCTTTAAAGACAAAGTCATGGAGTTGGCTCATGAAGGAAAGATTACCCTTGAAGACGATTCTGTTTCTGTTAATGTCACTTCAATCATGTTCGGGTCTCTCGAAGTTGACATAAAAGACAAAGAATCATATTGTCTCACTACCGAGAAAGGTGGCAAGGCGATCAGAGACAAATCGAGTGAAGAATGTGCCATGATAACTTTCACTGATGAAGATTTGGTGTTAGGATCCAAACCCCATAATCGTCCATTACTGGTCGTGGGTTATATCCATGAACAAAGGATTAACCGGATATTCTTAGACGGAGGAGCTGCAGTCAATGTCCTTCCTCTATACACATTGCAAAAATTGGGAATATCAGTAGATCAGTTGTTCGAGAGTCGTATGACAATACATGGATACAATCAAGAGGGGCAAAGAGCACTTGACACCATAAGATTGAGACTTTTAATCGATGAAATGGAAACTAACCCTTTGTTCTACGTGATAGACACAAAGACATCTTTCAACGTTCTTTTGGGAAGACCATGGATACATGAGAATGGTGTAGTTCCATCAACGTGGCACCAGTGCTTCAAATACACTCAAAATGGAGTGACAAAGAAAGTTCTCGGAGACACAAAGCCATATGCAGAAGCCGAGTCACACTTTGCGGACGCCAAATATTTCTCTACAGAAGCAAAAAAATCCAAGGTACATGAAGATGTCAAAGCACCACAACCAAACTTGGGGGCAAAGTTAAGAGATAAAGAAAAAACACCTGCCTCAGGATCTGCAGACTCATTAATTGAGCCTCTGAAAGATTTGACTCTTCCGAAGACCCCACTCAACCCAATCTCCCCATCACATACAAGAAATGGAAAAGAAGAAAAAATAGAGGCTATGCGATTGCAAAAGGACAAAAGCTTTGGCCTAAAAGCCTACAGACTTCTCACAAAAGCTGGATATAATCCAAATGAGGAATCACTGCTGGGAAAGTTACCACCACAGACAACCCAAGGTTCGAGGGCTGGTCTTGGGTACATGCCACAAGCTCCCGTACGCATCGCTATCAAAAGGGCTGCAAATCATCATATCACCGAAAGCGAGACTTTGTCTTCCAATTCACCTCAAAAGGGGAAGAATGCAAGAGTATCGGTTTTCGAGAGGCTAAAACCTTCTGTCTTCACAAGGTTAGGACCAAAGATCAATAAAGAGAAAAACAAGACGAATTCCACATCAACAAAATATGTGGAGATGGATGAAGAAATCAAGAGCCGTTTTCCATCCCGCATGACGCGTTAAACAAAAATGACGATACATTGCGGTAAAGTTTTAAAGACTAAATGGCAAACCGTTGTCTTCACCAAACCCAAAGAAGATAATGAAGAAAGTGTTGCATCATCCTGCTACATCACTGAAGGGGGAGAAGAGACAGTGATTGAAGAAGATGCAGGAAATGCACCCACCGCGTTTGAAGAAGGGATCAAAGCTGCAGTGGACGAGTTAGAAGAAGTCAACTTGGGAAATGAAGATCACCCAAGACCTGTCTATGTCAACAAAGAGCTGGGTGAGGATGATATGAATGCCTACGTCCGACTTCTCAACGAATTCCAAGATGTCTTCGCTTGGTCATATAAAGAAATGCCCGGCTTAGACCCGAAAGTTGCGGTCCACCATCTAGGTGTGAAGAAAGGAGCTCGCTCTGTGAAGCAAGCGCAACGAAGATTCCGTCCTGAACTCATCCCTCAAATTGAAAATGAAGTCAACAAACTCATTGAAGTGGGGTTCATCCGGGAAGTCAAATACCCCCAATGGATTTCCAACATCGTGCCTGTAAAGAAAAAGAATGGACAAATCCGAGTTTGTGTGGATTTCCGAGACTTAAACGAAGCATGCCCAAAAGATGATTTTCCTTTACCCATAACTGAATTGATGATTGATGCAACGACAGGACATGAAGCGCTTTCTTTTATGGATGGATCATCTGGATATAACCAAATTCGTATGGCACCTGAAGACGAAGAGTTAACCGCCTTTCGTACACCGAAAGGTATCTACTGTTACAAAGTTATGCCTTTCGGATTGAAAAATGCTGGGGCAACCTACCAAAGAGCAATGCAAAAGATCTTTGATGACATGCTACACAAAAATGTAGAGTGTTATCTTGACGACTTGGTTGTCAAATCCAAGAGAAAATAAGATCACCTGCAAGACTTAAGAAAGGTTTTTGAAAGGTTGAGGCGCTACCAATTAAAAATGAATCCTCTCAAGTGCGCTTTTGGAGTCACCTCCGGAAAATTCCTCGGATTCATTGTCCATAGTCGTGGAATTGAGATTGAACAGGCAAAGATAGATGCCATCACAAAAATGCCTGAGCCTCGTAACATCCATGAGCTAAAAAGCTTACAAGGAAAATTAGCATATATAAGAAGATTTATCTCTAATCTCGCTGGACGATGTCAACCTTTCAGCCGAATCATGAAGAAGGGAGTGCCTTTCCATTGGGATGAAGCATGCAAGAAGGCATTCCAAAGTATCAAAGACTACTTGACAAAGCCACCAGTGCTGACAGCCCCAATTCCTGGACATCCGTTGACGCTTTACATCGCTGCACAAGAGTGTTCAGTTGGAGCCTTGTTAGCATAGAAAGCCAATAAAGGGAAAGAAAATGCCCTCTACTACCTCAGTAGAATAATGACACCAAATGAACTAAATTATTCACTGGTGGAAAAGATATGCTTGGCGCTCATCTTCGCCATAAAAAAGTGGAAGCATTACTTCCAAGCGCACACTATCCGGTTGGTGTCCAAAGCAAATCCCTTGAAATATGTCATGTCAAAGCCTGTCCCTTCTGACCGACTCGCGAGGTGGTACCTGCAGGTGCAACAATTCGAAATCATATATGTACCACAGAAAGCTGTAAAAGGACAAATATTGGCTGACTTCCTTGCTGAGCATCCCATCCCCGCTGAGTGGGAGTTGTCTGACGACTTCCCTGATGAAGACGCGCTTTTTCTCGAAATCACCCCACCATGGAAAATGTATTTCGACGGCTCATCACACAAAAATGGAGTTGGAACCGGAGTACTATTTGTCACATCACAAGGAGAAGTCCTTCCATACTCTTTTGCCTTAAAAGAAAAGTGTTCAAATAATGTGGCTGAGTATCAAGCACTCATCCTCGGCCTAAAAATGGCGGTAGATATCAAGCAACGCCAACTTCAAGTGTACGGGGATTCCAAGCTGGTTGTAAATCAAATCACTGGAGAGTTTGAAGTGAAGAAACCAGAACTAATGCCTTACTTAAAGTATGCTAAGGCACTCATTGAGTTGCTCGGGGACGTCTCTATTGAATATGTCCCAAGGAAAGAGAATGGGCAAGCTGACGCTCTGGCTAAATTGGCATCGACTCTATCCATCCCGGATCAACAGGTGTATATTCCGATACACAAAGTTTGGGTGGATTCCTGCAAGTATGAAGAAGAAGAATGTGTTGAAAAAGAAGTAAATCACCTCATCGAGGTGTTTGAAATTGAAGAAGAAGAAGAAGATTGGCGGCAACCAATATTAGATTTCTTAAAATATGACAAGCTCCCGAGTGACCCGCGCAGACGAGCAGATATCCGAAGAAGAGCTGCACGCTACGCCTACTTCAACGGCATACTCTATCGTCGGTCGTTCGACAACATGTTCCTTCGATGCCTCGGCAATCATCAAGCCAAACAAGCTATGGAGGAAACTCATGCCGGAATCTGTGGAGCTCATCAAGCTGGCCCAGAGTTACACTTCCTAATAAAGAGGATGGGGTATTATTGGCCAACCATGGTTAAAGACTGTATAGAGTTCGCACGGAGCTGCCAACCGTGTCAATTTCATGCTAACTTTATCAATCAACCACCGGAACCATTGCACCCAACTATTGCTTCGTGGCCATTCGATACCTGGGGCATGGACGTTATAGGACCACTCGCAAAGTCGTCCGCTGGACATCTCTATATCTTGGCCGCAACAGACTACTTCTCCAAATGGGCAGAAGCAGTTCCTTTGAAAGAAGTCAAAAAGGAGACAGTAGCTGACTTCATACGAGTCAACATCATTTACCGTTATGGGGTTCCTCGGTGTATCATCACTGATAATGGAAGATCTTTTGCCAATACTCACATCGACAAGCTTTGTGAAAAGTTTGGCTTTCAACAAAAGAAGTCCTCAATGTATTATGCACCGGCAAAGGGACTCGCAGAGACATTCAATAAAACACTTTGTAACTTGCTGAAAAAGGTTGTCTCCAAATAAAAAAGAGATTGGCATGACCGCATTGGTGAAGCTTTGTGGGCCTATCGTACTACATTCCGCACTCCAACACAAGCGACACCATACTCACTTGTATATGGGGTCGAAGCTGTCCTCCCATTGGAAAGACAAATTCCTTCACTAAGGATTGCTCTCCAGGAAGAATTGACGACTGAAGAAAATGTCAGATTAAGACTCGAAGAGCTAGAGGCTCTCGACGAGAAAAGACTACAAGTTCAACAAAGACTAGAGTGTTATCAAGCACGATTGTCTCGAGCGTACAAAAAAAAGAGTCAAATCATGATCCTTTCAAATCGGGGACTTGGTTCTTGCTGTGAGAAGGCCCATTGTGATCAACTTTCGTTCGGGAAATAAATTTTTATCCAAGTGGGATGGACCCTACGTCGTCACTCAGGTTTACACGAACGGTGCATACAAGTTGACATCTCAAGACGGACTCCGGATAGGGCCAATCAACGGGAGGTTCCTCAAATGATATTATGCGTGAGACCTTCAAATCAAATCAAGACTCCTTAGCATGAGGATAAACTGCAAAATAACAATAAAAGCAAATTCAAGTTGCTTTGAACTACGTTATGACTTGATCCCTTTACCGGGTACGTAGGCAGCTTGAGATATACCTTCAAGTTCAGTCAAATAAATAAATAAGTGATAAAGGATTTGGGTAAAAAAAAATGCTCGAAAAAAAAAAATAAAAAAAGAAGAGAGAATTTAAATTTATTGATTGGCAATCAAAATGAAGAGTACAAATTGATCTTAAACATTAAGATTATATAACTCTTCTTTGCTAATATCCAACAACTCTTCTAAACTTTTTAAGTATTCTTCGTCTTGCGCGGGGACATTCTCTACAGTGGCGAGTTCATCCTTGACTTCAGCAATTTGAATGGTGATATTCTCATCAATTCCTTGGCGCCGCTTAATAAGGGAAATATTCTCTCTTTTTTGCTCTTGTAAAGAGCGAAGCTTCACGTCAATATTCTCCACACACCCCTCTAACTCCTTGATAGCTTCGGACTCCTCAACATGCCTCGTCTCAAGGTGCGAAAATCGATCTTTGATCTCGGAAATCTGTTGGTTACGAGCCGCCAAGGATACGGCGTCGATCGAGTCAGAACATGTCTCATCAAAAGATGCAGCGTCATAAAAAAGGGCCTTGACTCGGTCCTCAATATGAGAAATGTCAGAATACTGATAGCTTTTCATTGATTGGAGCACTACATCAACCTCGTCCTTAATCGAGGAAAGCAAACGAGCTGGTGTCCTCAAAAGCTTACCCCGAAGATCCGACCATACTTTTCCTATATATTTGCGTTGGATCCCTTTCACAAAATTCGCGCCACAGAATTCTGAAACCGCGGGCACAACGGAATGAACAACTCTGGGCTTGGTTGGAGCATCCTTTACTTGCTCATTGCAAACACCTCTGCTTTCTCCAATCACCTCAACAATGGAATCTCGGCTCGCCATCTTTTCATCCATACTCGGGATTCTTTGCTCCAACTGAAAAAGGGGATAAAAAAAAACGGATCATGTCAAAAAAAAAAAAAAAAAAAAAAAAGAGATAGAAGTTACCTCTCTCGCGAAATTGCTCGAAGAATGGTGTCGGCTCGAACGAGGACTTGACGGGTTGATGATATGAGGATCTCGACGAGCTCGCTTCCAATGAACATCATGCTCACTACTGCTTCGTTCAGGGACAGAGGGTACCGCCCGCTTTGAAGAACCGACATTGTGAGTACTTGAATTTCCATTGTTCCTCTCAGGAACACCCGAGATAAGTAGCGGCATTTTTCGAGCTTTATCCGATGGCTTGGTCTGATCTGTGGTCTTTTGTACCGGCGGGATATACTTATCCAAGAAAGACCCGCAAACTTGAGTCCACCACTTCTTGTATACGTCGGAAGAAAATCCCCTCGGAATCGCAGGAATGCGTGGAAGAATAACTTCGGCTGAAGATTTCAAGTAAGTACTTTGGTGCCAATGTTGATAGCCTTCCTCAAAAGCGCAGCAACGGATGTCTTTCAAAAGAACTCCGGGAATCTCTTGGAAAAAACCAAATTGACGGCAAAAACGGTGGGGACTATACGGCTCCACGAAGCATCGAAATCCATCCCGCAAAATCAGAAAACAAGAGCGAATGGAGATGAAGTATTCTTGCTCGTAGTCTTCGCGCTTCCCGTCATCAACAAACCGTACGTCGAAATCTTTCGTGATCATGGTGCAAGCCCAGCGAAAGTAGTCACCGCGCAAGATCTTTCGGCATGCAACATCTGCTCTATAAGCACGAGCACTAACAGCCCCGGAGTGCTTCACCATCCCCGGACCGCGGATTCCCTTCCATACGCCGTAGTGGGTCTGAAAATACTCAGCGATCCATCCGGTCAAAAAGTGGAGAGGAATTGTCGACCGAACTTTCCCAGGACATGATGAATCCGCGATCTGGTTTAGCCCTCTATAAATACTGGTTAAGACTGGAATGGCCAAGCTTACTGGAAATCCCGACGCTAGGACACTTGCCATCTTGAAAGTTGAAGGACGTATCAAACCAACATTGTCGAGCGGAAGCACAAAGATGCAAAGCCAACAAGAAAGGAACGCTGCGAGAAAAGTCTCCTCAAGGTGCTCCCGTCCAACTTTGAGTTTGGCAAAAGATGACTCCTGCGCCTTCGACCATGGCTCGTGGGCACCAATCTCTCCGGTAGGATTGTAAGTCGCATCAGGCCGAGAAGAACGAGTAGACTCCTTGCCACGACGAATTTGAGGACGCTCGTATTTGACGGTCTTTTCGCACCAAAAAGAAATCCAGTCGGTTGTGCGGACGCCACGTCGACCTTTGTCACGACTCCGAAGAAGGTGATAGGCATGCAACAGGTATCGGCACGAACGGGGAACCAGCTTCCTATCCTCTTTACTGCCATATAGCTCCTTTGCGCTTGGTACCACCTCTTCGTAAAATGAGCCGAGTATGGGGAGGCCCGCCAAGGACGCCAAGTCACGGAGAGAGATCGACACTTCACCGGCGGCAGTCAAAAGGGTGTTGGTTCTGGGACACCACGCCTCGCAAACGGCCTTGACGATCTCCGGAGAATAGTCGTAGGAGAACAAGGAAGCATAGACCGCATCGTAAATGCTTCCTCTCTTTAGTTGAATCTCGCATCGATTCAGCACATCCTCCGCCCATTCCCAATAGCCGGCCACGTACGAAAAGTTGCCATCAAATGAAGGAAGACCATTCCAAACGCACGCTCCCTCCATGATCCGCCGCCCCAAGGTTGGAAGTGGAAGAGCATCGTTTGGTATGTGTTGATGGAGTGAGGATTGCAAAGTATGTTTTCCGCCAGCAACATTCCGAGACCACGTCTTTGGGAAATTTGGGACCTCCAAGCGAGGGCGAGCAGCTCCGCGTCCTATGAGTGGTGGATGCACCAATAGACGAGTCACCTTGTCCAGCGGTTGACCTTCAAACTCGCAAATCACCAACTCGGCGTTTCCAGAGGGGGAGGAGACATCCTTGAAGTAAGCCATCTCGCCTAAAAAAAAATATATATATATATAAGCAAAGATCAAAAGATGAAAAAAAAAAAAAAAAAACAACACAAGAGAAATAAGCCTACCCTAGAATGAGAGAAATCAAAATTGTGAGAAATTGAGAATGATAAAGTTTTCTCATGGTGAGGGGTTTATATAGTGTCTAAAAATTGAGATATGGAAAGACATGTATAAGGGAAGGAAGAAGATAAGGAAATAAAAAAAAGGAAGGAAGATAAAAAATAAAAACAAAGAATAAAGGAAAGAATATATATATATGATATGTGTATATATATATATATACGCCATTAAAAAAAAAAGAAAAAAAAAAAGAATTTTGCAAAAAAAAAAAAAATTTGCATAAAAAAATGGCAAAAACGCCATTTACAAAAAAAATGCAAAAAAAAAAAAATGGCAAAAAAAAAGGGCCATTAAAAAAAAAAATTTCTTTTTCTATGTTTCGAGACTCGTTCACGCCTTAAACATTTTGCGTCGGCTTAAACAAGTCTCGAGGGGGCATTTTGTAGACACTAAAAATATATGTCTAAAATCAATTAAATATCATGTATTTTGGAAGAAAATAAAATTCCAATAAAATAAATATATGGTATTTAATTATGCACATATGTTAATTTTTGTACAATAAATATCAACCATTAATGCAAAATCTGCTTAAAATGGAAGATATCGTACAAATATTACGTGCATAAATAGAGCCATAATAAATTTGGCAGCAAAATAAATCAATCTTGTCAATAAAGGAAGTATATAAATTAATATCTTCCAAACAAGGCAATGATATAAAGATCTTGTCAATAAAGGAAATATATAAATTAATATCTTCCAAGAAGGGCAATAATATAAAGATTTTGGCGAGAAAGGAAGGTGCACAATCAAATCCGTCAAGAATGGAAAATGGCATCCAATGGAAAAGGAAAGATTATAAATCTTTCCATCCACGTAGCACCATCCGAAAAGGAAGTCAATGCCACCCTCCCCTATAAATAGGAGCCTTGGCCAATTCATTTACACACCGAAGTTCATTTGAAGACTCGCGCAAGGGTAAGTCTCTCTAGACTCTCTGCAATGTTCTTCATTGTTCTTCGTGTCCTTCGAAGCGTTCTTCGTCGAAAAGTCACCGATTTGGACAAATGATCCAATATTGGTTGACGAATCGATGAAGTTAACGTTCTTCGTCGTATGTCCGAGCCGGAGGAAGGATCAAATCTCTCAAAGCTATCGAGGAATCCATCAAAGCCAAGGAAGAGCCTCCAAAGTCGCTCCCAAAGCTTGAAGATGTTCGTCGCGTTCTTCATAAAAGGCGGAAACCAGGCCCTCTTCGATCCAATAGTCAAAGGGACACGCCGCCAAAAGCGTTATGGAGCACCAAATCCCTCCCTCAAAGATCAAATTCCGTCCGATCATCCAAAGGAGGCATCGATCCAAAGTCGACGATCAAAATCGCCAACATGGATACCAAAGTCCTTCAAAAGCCGGCGAAGTCAAACCAAAGACCAAAATCCCTTCGGATCAAAGAAGCCACCCAAATCCAAATTGGAAAAATGGATCGACCCGGAGAGAGAATCAAAGGATCCAAATAGAGAATAGGACCCGCATATATTAAATTAAATGTAATTTGTACGATTTTGTGTTTATAAAAAATATAACACAATTTTTTTGTCTACAGTACTAACATAAGCACAACCCGATACCCTTCTAGCATCGAACCATCCTCTACAAAGGCACTACCTCGGTTGACACTTTGAAGAGCTCTTCCACTTTCCCCAAATGCCACGAACTTGAGGCTTTATACTCAAACCCAAATTGTGGAATTAAAACCCCATGGAGCATGCAATGGAATAACATTCCATGAAATATTAGACTAAAAGAGAAAGTATTACTATCAAACATAACTTTCTATAAAAGAAAATGATGATAAATGATCAAATATTCATTAAAATATATTTGTTTGGTGTGTTTTACAAAGCACCTTAAGGGATCCTATTTATAGGAGTGGGGGAAGTAGAAGTGGAGTGATTTTCTAATGTGAGATGAGTTTTGTATAAATAATCTCTTAATGAGAGACATCTAGCCTAATCGTCCCTCCCATGCATGTGAGGTTCCATATTATATAGAAGTGGTCCCAAGGGATGGTCCCTCACTTAATGCATGTGCAATCCTAGGTTTATATAAATACATAATAAACCCTCTATTTTATCATACTCTTAGGTTTGCACAACTTTTCCGTTTGTTGTTCGATTGAGGTGTTGCAAGCTTCAAAGTCGGCATCCTTTGACAAGTGTTTGGCTATTGCAACATGGGCTTGAATTGCTCCCCAACTTTCAATGATCATCATCAAACCTTGTAATTTTTCGACGCATGGTTTCTCTCGGGTTCTTGAAGCTGGTCCGATATGAAGTTTTGGAATTGTGAATTTTGACATTGGGACATCCATGTCATACCATAGTCATATCAATATTTGTCATAGCTATTATGGTTTCGGAGACTGCACTTATTCTCCCATCTAATGCTGAGGTACTTGACGGAGATAACATGGAGTGGACTTACAATGATGTACGTGTTGTTTTATTAGTTGTATTATTTTGGGAATTAAATTGTTTCAATTGCTGTAATAAATTCTTATATATCTTGGAAACTCAATATAGTTGGTTTGCCGCCCCTGATTTGCTTCCTTTGTAATTATGCCATTAATGAGCTTGGTCATTCTTAGGTCACATTAAGATGGTACTACGGTCTGATATTATTAGATTAATCTATTTATGTATTATTTTTTGTATTTGGTGATTGTATATGAGTTGATTGTTAGGTTGGTGTAGACCACAGTTGTATTTGAGGATGCTTTAATGCACTGTTGATGGTTATGTTTTTATTTTGGCATATCTATGAACGTCGTTGGATTGACGTTGTTTTGTAGGTTTCAACAAGGATTTTGGATTAATTTGATAAAATTATGCTTTAAGTTATTTTTCATAAAGTTGGATTCGCAACAAATATTTTAGTCAATTGAAGCTTTTTGTAGCGACTTTTTTGTTATGGACATTGTCTGAAACAAAAGGTTTTCATGGTCACATATCTTTTATATCATATTTTTTGTTACGGATAAATTTTGTAACAAATAGTTCTCTAACAAGAAGTCTATTTTTTCCGTCTTTTTTGTTACAGACATATTTTATAACAATTTTTTTTTGACAGCAATCCACTTTTGCACCGAAATATTTTTTACGGACATATGTCGTAAAAAATTGTTTTCTGACAGAATTCTACATTTGTTCCACATTTTTTGTTACGAATATATGTAATTGCAAAAACATGATCGATCCTTTTTTTACATACAAAAAAATGTAGCAAATACCATTAAAAAATGTTTATTTAGGGTGTTGACCGCAACTTATTTGTTATGGATTGTGCCACAACAATGACCTTTGTACTGCAACTTTTTGCAGCAGTCAAAATCCGTAAAAAAGTTCATATAAAAGACCTTTTTGCACGAAAATTGGGCTTTTGTTATGAATTTCTAACCGCTACAAAAAGTCAATTTTTTGGTAGTGTGTTGCTTAGATGTGATCCATTTGGTATTTCAGAGTATTTGCTTGTGCTTCGTTGTTCAATACTTGTTGTGGTAACGGGGAAGTTTACTTTGTGGTTTGACACGGCCCGACCATGTATTATTATATCCAATGTATTTTTTTTTCCCACAAAGTTCAGTAGAACCAATGGATTAAGAATATGTGTAAAAGAAAAGACAAAGAAGAAGAAAAGATAGTGCAGAGAATGTGAATTAGTATGGATGATAAGCAACCACGAGATAAGTCTAGGACCTGAAATAAATTTATAGCCTAAAACACAAACAATAGGCTAAATCCCACTGCAAAGGAGAAAGCCACAAACCGATGGAATGACTTCAAAGACCCGATTTGAGTCTCTATATACGAGAAAATCACTCCACAACACTAAAAAATTTTAAAAGTTAAATTTGATTCAAGATGTAAAAAGTTTCCATCACAATGATAGGCAATGACCTTCTATAGAGGTCCTTGAGGAAAAAATAAAAGGCAACAAATAATAAAGGAAACAAACCAAAAGGTAAGTCTAACTATAAGGAAATAAATAATTAGGAAAGTTTTAGATATAAAATTATACTATATGGAAACTTATAATAAAAGAAAATATATCTTAAGGCAACTTAGCCTCAAGAAGTGATGATTCTCTTGATAATATTTCATGATTAGCGATTCTCTTGATCTTTCAATTTGGATTCTTGCGGGTCCCATTGAAGGAGTGTCAGGTGACGGGTAAGTGGTCTCCAAGAATAATTTTTAAATTGATTCTCCATAAAAATAATCGGGTCAATGCAGTGACGGGTTTTTGAAACTGATGAGCTCGGCTTCGAGTGATGGGTCCCACGGGCACTTGAATTCTTGAAGATTGGACATCCTCGTCATTCCCTCATTCTTAAAAAGCTTTCTTGTTCTCCCGAACAAGATATTCTTCCACTGCATAAAAAGGCTTAAGTGAGAAACATTAAAAGTAGCATGAACTTGGAACTCACCTGGGAGTTCAAGTTTGTAGGCATTATAATGCGTTCTAACACTCGAAATGGCCCATTGCCACGGGGAGTAAGTTTTGAATTTCACAATTCTAGAAATATTTCTTTTCTTAAGTGTAGCCAAACCCAATCTCCTATCACGAATACAAATTTCTTGCACCCACGGTTAGCTTGTTTTGCGTAATTGTTAGTTGCCTTTTGTAGGTTATCCTAAACTTGAGAATGAAGTTGTTGGACAAATTTAACCCTTTTTCTGCCATCAAAACTAACATGCTCATTGCGTGGCAATGGCATAAGACCAAGAGGAGTTAATAGGTTAAAACCGTAAACAACCTCAAATGTAGAGCAATTCGTAGAGCTATGAATCAGTACAGTTATATGCAAATTCAGTATGAGCTAAACATTCTTCCCAACTCTTCAAATTTTCATTAACTAAGGCACGTAACAAGCTACCCACAGTTTGATTAACAACTTCAGTTTTACCATCAGTTTATGGTTGGTGTGATGTGGAAAATATTAATTTTGTACCTAATTTAGCCCAAAGTATTTTCCAAAAATAGCTTACAAATCGAGAATCCCTATAAAAAACAATGGATTGTGAAACACCATGCAATCTAAGAACCTCTTTGAAAAATAATGAAGCAATATGTGAAACATTAGTGGTTTTTGTGCATGGAGTAAAATGTGCCATTT